ATTTTTTTATTTTTTTTTTGTAGATTTTGGGCAAATGTAGGAATACCTTATGGAACCAATGGGTTTGAAGCATTTTGTCCTTTTTGTGCTAAACTACTTGAAGGCTATCCAGGATATGTTAAATTAATTTTTAACTAAAACCAAGTTTAAGTAAATTGTTTTAAACTTAATTTTAAAAATGAATAGATTTCTTTGTATAGTTTATATTTATTTTCCCTTGTCCTTATAAAGGTAGTGTGATAATATTAGCTTTTTTTTTTTGTCAATTTGTGAGTTTTACTTTTTTCATTGTTTTTATTACAATTTTGTATTTGTATTATTTAAACTGCATAACTAGGTTATGCCATTTTATAGGCTTAAAACAAATTGTATTCAACTATTTTTTGCCTTTTGCTTTTAGTTAATTATGTTTTTTAATTTTTTATATTGTTTGGTCACTTCTGCATAGCATCAGTAATCTCTAATCAATATAATATTGTTGTGTCTATTTATGAGGCAGTTTAAAAAGTGACAATCTAAAAAAAAACTGTTTAAAAAAATCTCAGTATTAGTTTTAAAATATTATTATTGATATCTTTTCCAATGTTTACAATTTTTGAAGATCTTATTAGCAATAGTTAAATTTAAGTACTAAGTATTTTATTAGGGTTGCTATGAGTAAAAGTTAAATTCCTTCTACTCTGTCATTCACATTTATTATAACTGAGTCACGAGCACTTAAACTTCTTTTTAATGATGTTTTTTAATTAGTCTAGTAAAATAAGAATGCAAAATAATCATCGTGAATTTATAAATTTAAATAATAATAGAATTAGCTCTATTATGTTAAGTGGGGTATTTAAAGAAAAAAAATACTTTCAAATATYTAAAATAGAATTCCTTGATTTTTATATTTCTATTAAGAAATATAGAATTTTTTTGTTTAGATTCTGAGTGAATTTAATAATGTTTTGCTTTTAAAATGATGTATGTTATTTCTCTAACATCAARATCTAATAAATAGCAACCCTAGTATCTATATTTAAATGTTTACTTTTAAATTTATTTTAT